ACACATTTGGTGACCAGAAGTGAAATGTTTTGTGCAGTAGTGAAGGAGACTCACAGAAAAGAAATGAGTATATAGGAGAAAAACACAGTAGGGAAGAACTAGGTTTTTCCCTATAACAGGATGGAGAAACTGAGATTTTTCCTTTTAGTACTTTAAGGTATTGGGTACATTATTCAACCATAAAAGTAGATGTGGAATTTAGGGATTAGAAGCAACTGATACTGTAAAGATCTAGTTTTGTAAGCCCAATTAACCATGGATGTGGCTGCCAAAAAAAAAGCTAAATTGAATATTGGCTGCATTAAAAGAAACAGGATCTAGAACAGTGCTGAACAGTGCTGCACAGTAGATCTTCCTGTGATAATGGAAATGTTCTCTATCTGAGCTGTCCAACAAGGTAGCCATTAGGCACAGGTGGATACTGAGACTTGATATACTTAGTGTGACTGAGGAACTAAATTTTCTATTTTGTTCAATTTAATTAACTTACATTTAAATAGGTATGTGAGGATAACTGCTACCATATTGGGCAGTGCATGTTTATAATATTTAAAACATGAAAGGCATATATTATTGGTTAGATCTGAAGAACTGTGTTCATTTCTAGTTACCATACTTATAAAAACTGGAAGTGACATCCAGGAAATGGGCTTATTAGGAATACTGTTAGAATGAACTGGGGAAGAGCTATCAACTAAAAGATTTAGATGTTTTCATATGGCAGAACTAGTAGCCTTAAAAATGACTGGAAAATATGTATAAATTCTATATAAGAAATTTTGTGTTCCAGCTTTATAAAAATATAGTAATGATAATCCCCTCTTCCACAGGTTTTCCAAAAGAGGCTGAATGACTTTTCATCCAAGAATTCATGTACAGGTAGGAGAATGGTCTACAATAATGGTTGCCAAGCTATAGCCAGTAGACCAAATTCAGTCATCTGTTTTTATAAATAAAGTTTTATTGGAACACAGCCACTTTCATTCATTTATAGTTTGTTTATAGGTGCTTTTACACTAAAGTAGCAGATTAATTGTGACAGACTTTATGGCTGACAAGTCTAAAATATAATATTTACTACCTGGCTCTTTAGAGAAAATGCTTACTGATCCCTGGTCTAAAATAGTGGTTCTCAGAACCATCTGGAGAACTAATAAAGAATACAGAGGCCTGGGGCTGTTGGAATAATGTAGGACCTGGCCTCTTTATTTTTATCAAGTTCCCTAGTGATTTTATTTTTAACAGCTTTATTGAAATATAATTCACATACCATACAATTCATCCATTTAAAGTATACAATTTAGGAGAAACCAAGATGGCGGCATAAGTAAACACTGGAGATTGCTGCCTCGCACAACCACTTCAAAAATACAACTAAAAGGCGGAACGGACATCATCCAGAACCACAGGAAGGCTGGCTGAGTGAAAATTCTACAACTAGAAGGAAAGAGAAAAGCATACCGAGACTCAGAAGAGGTGCGGTGCGGAAGTAAAATACAGAGGTACAGAGGCGCATGCGGAGAGGGTTGGTGGCTGAGGACACGGTTGTCTTTTTCAATAGGGAGGGAGTCTCAAGCTCTGAGCTCCAGTTCCAGGCGAGTCTCTGGGGACCCAGACTCATACGGGAGAAACTGGACTGTCTGGCATAGGTCTAAACTCGAGGGCAGCTTTCTCTCGGGGGTGCTTGCAGCGATTGCCAGGACACTGAGAAGCAGGGCCTCTGAGGGCAGGACTGAGAGCAGCCATAACTGCTCGCTCCGCACTGTTGATCCCCTGGGATCCCGCCCAGCCCAAGTCACTGAGGCTTTTGCATATGAAAGGCCTGGCCCTTTGCAATCTGATAATTACCTAACAAACTGCAGCTGGCCCAAGGCCCCAGGGAAACTTGCATTGCGTCACAGCTGGCTCCTGCTGGATAGCCTCATGCAGAGGCTAGATTAGTACCTCCTTAGAGATCCAGGAGCCAGTGTGCCCAGTGGTCAGAGTGGGACCATCCAGATTGCAGCTCCTCGGATCCATAAAGGACACACTCAGGGGGCAGACTCAGTGAGCACCAAAGCCCCATTGAAGCAAGTCTTGCCCCGGAGGAGTGTCTCCAGCACAGAAGTTCTCCCACTGCAGACACAGCTGATTCTCACGGCCAATTGGCCTGGGGGTCAATCCCTCCCAGTGTTACCTACAACAATCAAGGCTTAACTACAACAAGACTGTGCACAAAGCCCACAAGGGGGTGCACCAAGAGTGTGTACCTCAGGTAATTGGGGAGGCTGAGCCACTGGACCCTTTAGGACACCTAGTACAGAAAGCCCCTCTATCGACACAGCGAAGCATAAAAAAAATGCGGAGACAAAGAAACAGGACACAAATGACAGAAATGGAGGAAAGCAAACTACTGGATATAGAGTTCAAAACCACACTTTTAAGGTTTTTCAAGAATTTTCTAGAAACCGCAGATAAACTTAATGAGACCCTTAAGAAATCGACCCTCGAGGTTGTGATAAAGGACCAACTAGAAATTAAGCATACACTGACTGAAATAAAGAATATTATACAGACTCCCAACAGCAGACTAGAGGATCGCAAGAATCAAGTCAAAGATTTGAAATATGAAGAAGCAAAAAACACCCAACCGGAAAAGCAAAATGAAAAAAGAATCCAAAAATACGAAGATAGTGTAAGGAGCCTCTGGGATAGCTTCAAGCGTACCAACATCTGAATTATAGGGGTGCCAGAAGAAGAGAGAGAGCAAGATATTGAAAACCTATTTGAAGAAATAATGACAGAAAACTTCCCCTACCTGGTGAAAGAAATAGACTTACAAGTCCAGGAAGCGCAGAGAACCCCAAACAAAAGGAATTCAAAGAGGACCACACCAAAACACATCATAATTAAAATGCCAAGGGCAAAAGACAAAGAGAGAATCTTAAAAGCAGCAAGAGAAAGACAGTCAGTTACCGAAACTTTGCAGGCCAGAAGGGAGTGGCAAGAAATATTCAAAGTGATGAATACCAAGAACCTACAACCAAGATTACTTTTTCTAGCAAAGCTATCATTCAGAATTGAAGGTCAGATAAAGAGCTTCACAGATAAGAAAAAGCTAAAGGAGTTCATCACCACCAAACCAGTATTATATGAAATGCTGAAAGGTATCCTTTAAGAGGAGGAAGAAGAAGAAAATGGTAAAGATACAAACTATGAACAACAAATACCCATCTATCAACAAGCAAATCTAAAAATCAAGTGAATAAATAATTTGATGAACAGAATGAACTGGTGATTATAATAGAATCAGGGGCATAGAAAGGGAGTGGACTGACTATTCTTGGGAGGGGGAAAGGGGTGTGGGGGATGCAGGAAGAGACTGAACAAAAATCGTGCACCTATGGATGAGGACAGTGGGGGGGGGGGTGAGGGCGGAGGGGGGGTGGGAAACAGGTGGAGGGGAGCTATGGGGGGAAAAAGAGGAACAACTGTAATAATCTGAACAATCAAGATTTAATTTAAAAAATAAATAATGTATACAATTTAGGCCCTGGCCAGGTAACTCAGTTAGTTTGAGCATCATCCCAATGCACCAAGGTTGTGGGTTCAATCCCCATTCAAGGCACATACAAGACTGAACCAATGAATGCACAAATAGGTGGGATAACAAATCAATGTTTCTCTCCCCCCCCTTCTTCTTTCTTCTCTCTATCTCTCTCTCTCAAATCAATTAAATAAAAAATATATGTACAATTCAATGGTTTTTAGTATATCCACAGAGTTGTGCAACCACCACCCAATTTCAGAACATTTTCATCAAACCAACAAGAAACCCTATACCTATTAGCAGTCATTTCCTATTTTCCCCATCTCTCACAGCCCTAGACAACCACTAATCTACTTTGTGTCTCTATAAACGTGCTATTCTAAACATATCATATAAATGAAATGACACAACATATGGTCTTTGTAGCCAGCTTCTTTAACTTAGCATAATGTTTTTAAGGTTCATCCATATTATAACATGTATCAGTACTCTGTTTCTTTTTATTGGTAAATAATACTCCATGGTATGGGTGTACCACATTTTGTTTATCTATTCAATCAGTTAATAGACATTTTGGTTGATTCCACATTTTAGTATTAAGAATTCCACATTTTTAGTATTAAAAATAATGCTGCTATGAGCATTCCTATTTGTATGGACATATGTCTAACTCAAGCGTGGAATAACTGGGTCAATGGTAGGTAAATCTCTAACTAATTCTGACTGTTTCCAAAGCTGCTGCACCATTTTACATTCCTACAAGCAGTTTATGAGGGTTACAACTTTTCCATACAATATGGGTATGTGCCCTGACCTGGATGGGATGACACTCCAACCAGATGAACCACACCAACCAGGGCTTATCTGTCTTTTTTATTCTAGCCATCCTAGTGAGTGTGAAGTGGTTTTTCATTTTGGTTTTGATTTGCATTTCTCTGATGGCTAATGATGTTGAGCATCTTTTTAAGTGCTTATTCCCCAGTAATTCTGATGCACACTGATGTTTGAGAACCACTAAGAGGTCTATAAGTAATTTAAGGTCCCTTTTAACATTAATAATCCCATGAAGATAGTGCCAGAGAGTTATATCACTTGAAGAACTATAATTGCTCATGTCTTCCTGTTCCACTTGACACTGACCTGCAGATTAACCTAGTCTAACTCCTATTTTATAAAGTCATGATTATCTTATTCCTTTTTCATTTTATTTTTTAAATTTTTAATATAAATTTTAAAATTAACTTGACTTTTGATTGTTTAAATCATTAAAAAAGCAATTCCATCTTCTAATTTGATCAGCACAATGGCAAATATTGTTCTCTGTAAGTATGTATGGAGATGATAGATAGATAGATAGATAGATAGATAGATAGATAGATAGATAGACAGACAGATAGAGATTCAATATGTGTTCATGGAAATCTTAGATAAATTTTAGTCTTTAGAGAAAAGAAAATCAATTCTTCTCTACCTTTCATTATCCATCAGCAGGTTAGTGATGCTCAGACAGATGTCTAAAGACATGTCAAGGTGTAGTATTTCTATGCAAGCTAACAAAAAGAAAAAAGAAATAATCATGTCAGTTTCATTTATGAGGAAGCTTAGCTATTTTCAATAATTTTTCTCGGTTGAAAATCTACTTTCCAAATATTTGCCATATATCATGTTTTACCTAAAATTTATCAAAATCTTTTCATGAAGTAATAATATACAATGCTAGAGAAAATGCAGTGAAACAGGCACTCTTAAATGTATGACAAAGTAACCTTTTGAAAAGCAATTTGGCAATACTATATGCTAAGAACACAGTGGTTAAGAGCTTGAGGTGTGAAGTCAGAAAGACCAATATTTGAAACAACTTGTCACCTGTGTGGCCATAGGCAAGTTACATAGATTTTCCACACCTTAGTTTTGTCATCTGTAAAATGGGGACTATATCACCACCAATCTCTTGGGGGTGATTGAGAGGGTTACATGAGATAATATATCTAAATTACATAGCAAAGCACCTAGCACTTAGTAAGCATTCAATAAATAAATGACAGCTGTAGGCTGGCCAGTATGGCTCAGTGGTCAATCTATGAACCTTGAGGTCATGATTTGATTCCTGCTCAGGGCACATGCCCAGGTTGCAGGCTCAATCCCCAGTGGGGGGCATGCTGGAGGCAGCCAATCAATGATTCTCTCTCATCTTTGATGTTTCTATCTCTCTCTTGCTCTCCCTGCCTCTCTGAAATCAATATATATATATATTTTTTAAGTGTATTTTATTGATTTTTTTTACAGAGAGGAAGGGAGAGGGAGAGGGATAGAGAGTTAGAAACATCGATGAGAGAGAAACATCGATCAGCTGCCTCCTGCACACCCCTACTAGGGATGTGCCCGCAACCAAGGTACATGCCCTTGACTGGAATTAAACCTTGGACCCTTAAGTCTGCAGGCCGACGCTCTATCCACTGAGCCAAACCGGTTAAGGCGAAATATATTTTAAAAAATAAATGACAGCCGCTATTATTATTTCTTATACCTCAGAAATTGTATTTCTGAAAAGTCATTTGATGTAAATATGGGGAAATGTTTATTAACAAAGATATTAAAAGCAGTACAGATTATAACAACAATAAAAATAAAATATATTCTGAGTGTGAACTGTAAAGCCAGGAACTATGTGCTTGGTGCTGGCCAACAGCGGACAAAATATAAAATCCCTGCTGTTAAGAAGCTTATAGTCCAGTAGATGGTGGACTATGGATATTTTTAGTATTTACCAAAAACTTCCTTTAGGTATGTGCCACCTTTCCATAATAAAAAAAAATTGTACACTTTTAAAATTTCTTATTATATAACAAAAAATACCAGTAAAATTTTAATGCCAGCACTTAGGTTGACCATTTTAAGAGTAAAATACTTTCACTAGCAAAGAAATGAACAGACAATAAAAATCCAAGTTTCATACAGTCTCTCAATAAAAAGATAACTTTATTATTTTAAACTATGGAAAACTTAAGAGTCAGGGAATTCTTTTAATTTGTACTATGAAATTGTAACTTCATTAGTCTGAATATCAACAGTATCTAGATTGAGTTAAGTAAAACAATCTGGGAATAAAGAATAATTTCACTTTAAATTCTGCTTCTTATCTACATTTTGATAAAAACTGTAATGGGGAAATCTAGTCCAAAATTAATCAACTTCACAACTGGGTGACTCCTATAATCTCTCTGGTCTTCCCACACAGCATTAGTTTGAGTAAGCCTATTCCTTTAATTCGTTAGTTGGTTTGTTTATTCCCTTAGTGCAAACAAAGTAGAGTTGTTTTCCTGGTTCCTAACATTTTTCAACCTGTGTATGCTGAGATGAAAACTTAGAGATATAGAATCCTCTGTACATTTCAGCTTCTGAGGTCTCTAAGCGATTGGTTAGCATTCTACAGGTAACAGAAAATTTCAGCAGTACCACATTAGCACTAAATTTAGATCTACTTCCAAATATGATTGTTGACCTATTTATTACAAATTGTTATTTATTGGATAATCAGTTATTATACCAACATAATTTTATTTTTTCATCTTTTTATTGATGTCAGAGAGGAAGGGAGAGGGAAAGAGAGATAAAAACATCAATGATGAGAGAGAATCATTGATTAGCTGCCTCCTGCACACCCCACACTGGGGATCGAGCCAACAACCTGGGCATGTGTCCTGACTGGGAATCGAACCATGACCTCCTGATTCAACTCTCAATCACTGAGCCACTCTGGCTAGACCTAACATAATTTTATATAGTAAAAATAATGCAGCTCTATAATACAACTATATTTTTATATAGTAAAAAATAAAGCATGTATGTATTAAAAGAATTTAGAATAAGTTATTTTTATGACTAAACATAATTTAAATACTGTTAAGGGGCCAGTGTACATAAAGAGATTTGTTCCCCTCATTTAATTCATCTATATAGTAGTAATAACAGTGATAATAATAACTACAATAATAATTATTATTACATACTAACTATATACGTTATGGTGCTAAATGTTCTATACACATTTTCTCATAGGATTCTCAAAGCAACACAATGAAGTAGACAGTATTATTATATCACTTTCAAAGATGAAGAAATGAAGTACAGAAAAGTTAAGTAACTTGCCAAAAGACCCACAGTTATATATCAGGATGTTTACTTTGTGATGTGTATTTTGAAAAACAAATAACAATGTTTTTTGCCGAAACCGGTTTGGCTCAGTGGATAGAGCGTCGGCCTGCGGACTGAAAGGTCCCGGGTTCGATTCCGGTCAAGGGCATGTACCTGGGTTGCAGGCACATCCCCAGTAGGAGATGTGCAGGAGGCGGCTGATCGATGTTTCTCTCTCATCGATGTTTCTAACTCTCTATCTCTCTCCCTTCCCCTCTGTAAAAAATCAAATAAAATATATTTAAAAAAATAACAATGTTTATACAAGTAAATATAAAAATCACAACATTACATAGGCTTTTCAGTCAATAGGTAATCTTTCTTCATGGTAGTAGACAACGTCAGAAGGGTTGAGCAGCTGCAATTCTCTGTTAGACTAAAAGAAACTGATGGCTTTTATTCAGCTCTTTTTTACTACCTATTAAATTTGCTACTGTTCTCTCCTTCCTCTTTTTCTTCCTGGCTAACAATCTTCCCTCTTTCTTTATGTGATTATTTTCCTTCTCAATCACCATCAAATTATACTACAAAATATCTTATAGTCAACAAATAGGTGGTTAGATTTAAGAACTGCACTTCACACACAGAGATGATACCTTCAAGGAGTTCTTCATTAGCTGTTTCGCCCTTCAAGAGGATTTTTATCTTCAAGAAAAGCCCGGCTGGGTTTAAATGTTCCTATTTTAAAGAAATCACAATTACATTAAAACTTTGGAATATAAAAGACAATTTTCAAGTAATTGCCTGTTTTATTCAACCACAGCAGGATGACTCATGATAAAAGGAAATCAAAAATATAAAAGAACAGATCATAACATCCAGTATATCCCTAGGGATATTTTCTGATATTTTATTCAATCTAAATGAAATGATATGAGGAAAAGAACATGTAAACATTTCCATTGAGTGTCAAGCATTTAAATGGCAAGGTCAATATTTATTAGTAAACTGTATGAATATAAGGCCATATTCTTGTCTTGGTAAACAAAACCCAAAAAATCAATTATAATTGGATGTGGTTTCTTTGAGATTTTAATAACAGGTATAGTACTCTGCAAACAATGGTTGAATGAAATAGGAAACACATTGTCTTTCCTATAGAATATGCCTGTCATATTTACCATTCATAACGATGAACTCTGAATGGTTTTTCCAAGTCCTGTTAGCTGGCCTTAAGCCATTTGTGGTCTCTAGCCTGGTTCCACTTTTTCCTGACAGGGTACATCTTTAAATAGCTGGCTACGATTAAAAGTGCAATGTAGGCCCACAGAATAGAACTTTTCTCAATACAAAGTCAATTATCCTCTACATGAACCTCATACTCATCAAACTAAAAATGATTATAGCTATTCATGTGTGAGATGCCTTAAGTATGGAAAGTTAGAGAAAGTAAGCACTGGTATTAAAAGGCTTTGCAAATATACATGACATTAATACAAAGAATAAAGCTGCAAATTTTAATCTATTCCATTACTACCTTTCCTAACAGGCATGTTGAAATATCTCTTAGGCTCAATTACCACTTACCTTTGATGTACAGGTTGTCCAAATCTTGGTAGGATCTGTTTTCATTTAGTCTATGATACTCACACAAGTTACATTGTTCTTTCCTTTATTTCCTTTACCAAACAACTACAGAGAATGGACAATACTTTGCTTTTATTGTATCATCATCTATGCACTTCCATAATCATTTGCACTGTAGTATCCATCCTTACTGTCTCTTGAAATTAAGCTTTCAAAATTCATAAGTATCAGTTAAATCTATCAGCTTTCTCCCTACCATCAATCTCCTTGTGTTATCTGTAATTTTTCTCACTGTCATTTCTCACACTTGTTCCTTAACTTTGTTTTCTTTGTTTCCATTTTCTTATTACCAAACAGTTATTGGAAAACAGGATCCAGGAACAACAAATTTGCAAGGCAAGTACTGTGAATATTGTTTTGCAGATGAAGAACCTGAGGCCCCTATGGAGTAACTTACCCAGTTGCAAAGTGATAGGGTTGAAATTTGAATTCAGATCTCTCTGACTCTAAAGGCCATAATATTTCCACTATAATATGCTGTATTACTTGAAGCTCTTTCTACCCTTGGTCTGCCTATGATTACGCTGTCCAGTTCTCCTGAAAGCTCTAAAGAGTACTTTTCCACTTTTTACTGTGAAGTGTATCATACACACACACACACGATTATAGAAAATCTATCTTACAGAATAATAAAACAAACACCCATGTACTCACTACATTAAGTTAAGAAACAACACTCAGCACATTAGAGACCTCCAATGTACACTTGTCCATTTGTATCCTCTTCACTTACCCACAGAGGTAAACTACCTTGAATTTTGTGTAGCAATTCCCTTGCTCTTCTTTATATTGTTTAGTTTTACCTGCATTTGAACTTCATTCAAACAGAATCATAATGTATAAAAATTCTTCTGTGACTTGCTTCTTCATTCAATATCATGATTTTAAGATTCATTTATGTGGATGCATAAAACTAATCTATTTGTTTTCATTACTCTATAGCAGGGGTCCTCAAACTTTTTAAACAGGGGGCCAGTTCACTGTTCCTCAGACCGTTGGAGGGCCGGACTATAGTTTAAAAAAAAAACTATGAACAAATTCCTATGCACACTGCACATATCTTATTTTGAAGTAAAAAAACAAAACGGGAACAAATACAATATTTGTATTTGCATGTGGCCCGTGGGCCGTAGTTTGAAGACCCCTGCTCTATAGTGTGGTCCTTGGAGCGTATTCCCCTCATCAACATTACCTGAAAACTTGTTAAAAATGCAGACCCCACCCAAACCTATTGAATCAAAAATTCTGAGGATGAGGCCCAGCAAATAAAGTATGTGTGGGTGGTTTTAGAAAAATGTATATCATTATTATTGATTTATATTAAGAAAAGTTTCCATTTCAACATAAATTCTAGTACCTGTTTAATAAGGTAGTAAATAAGGAAATTATGTTTTAATAGACTTTCTGGTTAATATTTATGAATGCTAAAGTTTGAGAATGACTACTCTATACAGTATTCCACTGTATGACAATTTATTTACCTGGCCTACTTTGAACACTTGAGTTGCTTTCAACCCAACTGCTATTATGAACAATTTTGGCATCAGCTTTCTGTACATTTCTCGTAGTATACAAACGCAAGAACTGTTTTCCAAAATATATATCTAGGAGTGAAGTTGCTCGGTGATTCAACTTTATCAAAGAATGTTAAACTGTTATTCAAAGTAGTTGTATCAATACTCAAAAAGCTAGGAATAGAAGGGAAACTTCCTCAACCTAATAAAGGGCATCTAAAATATCCCACAATACCATGCCATAATGGTGAAATACCAAAAAGCTTTCCACCTATGATCAGGAACAAGAAAAAAGTGTTCTTGCCACTTCTATTCAACATTAGAATAGACATTCTCACCAGAGCAATTAGGGAAGAAAAAGAGATAAAAGGCATCCAGATGGGGAGGAAAAAGTAAAACTATCTCCTCTATTTGCAGATGAAATGATCTTGCACTTAGAAAGTCCTAAGGAATCCAATAAAAACCTATTACAGCTAAAAAAAAATTCAGCAGCAAAGTTGCAACATCAATATTTTGTTTATTTTATTTTATTTGTTAATCCTTACCCCAATATTTTTCCATTGATTTTTAGAGAGAGTGAAAGGGAGAGAGGAAGGGGGAGAAAGAAAGAGGTGGGTAGAGGGGAGAGAGAGAGAGAGAGAGAGAGAGAGAGAGAGAGAGAGGTGAAAGATACACGTCGATTGGTTGCCACCTGCATGCACACCCAACCAGGGCCAGGGATCAAACCTGAGACCCTTCAGTGAACAGGATGACACTATAACCACTAAACACACCAGCCAGGGTGCAACATCAATATTTTAAAAATCAACTGTATTTCTATATACTACCAATTAACCATTCACAAGTGAAGTTAAGAAAATAATTCCATTTATAATAGCATCTAAAAGAATAAAATACAGTGGAACTTCAGTTCTCGAATTTAATTTGAAAGCCAAATATTTTTTCCCCCATTACAAATAATGTAAATTGCCCAGCCACAGTAGCTCAGTGGATTGAGCATCATCCCTTGCACCAAGAGGTCACAGGTTTATTTTCCGGTCAGGGCACACACCCGAGTTGTGGGCTCGCTCCCCAGTGGGTGGCTTGCAGGTGGCAGCCAATTGACATTTCTCTCTCATTGATGTTTCTATCTCTCTTTCCCTCTCCCTTCCTCTCTTTCTAAAAAATCAATAAAAGCATATTAAAAATAAATAAAACTATTTCATTTTAATCATTCTTATATACAGTATATATCTAATGTATTATCCTATATAATAAAGAGCTAATATGCTAATTAGACCAGACAGTGGAACAAACTTCCAGTACGACCAGTGGGTGGGGGGCAGGGCAAGCGAGCCTGTGCCACCAGGCCAGCCATGGTGGTCCCAGGAGAGGCAGCGCCCCGGCCTGGTCCCAGCACCTCCCCCTGCCCCCGCCCCCGCCCCTTCTGCAGAGGTGGTGGCTCGGGCCCAGACCCAGCACCATCCCTTCTGCAGAGGCAGCAGGAGAGGTTGGCGGTGTGGGCCAGTCCCGGTCCCGGTGCCACCCCTTCCACAGAGGTGACTGGAGAGGCAGTGGCATGGTCCCAGCACCTCCTGGGCGCCTCCGCAGTGCCTCAACTTCCCACAGCCCCTCCCCCTTCCGGCCTGGCTCCTGATCAGCGGGGATGGGGCCAGCACTAAGGAGAAGGGAGCCCACCTTCTGGTTGAGCGGCACTCCTCCCTGCTCAGCCAGAAGACGGGCTCACGGCTGGCGAGTGCAGCGGCGGTTCTGGGAGCCTCTCCTCCCTCCACAGCAGGCAGGCAATAAAGAGTGAGGGGTCCTGGACTGTGAGAGCCTCAGACTGTGAGAGGGATGTCTGAGTGCCAGCAGGCAGACATATTCCGAGGGGTCCTGGACAGCGAGAAGGCACAGGCCCGGCTGAGGGACCCCACTCCCCCAGTGCATGAAATTCATGCACTGGGTCTCTAGTTTAATCTATAAATAAACAATTCTTTCTTAAATTTATTGAACCATCCCCTACTAGCCTTAAAGGAATTATTTTCATCACTAATACCAAGGGTGTCTTTCAGGTCAGCATATAGCATCTTTGCTTGTTCATATATCACTGCCTCTGAAATGTTGTCACTGGCTAACTACTTGTCATTTATCCAAAACAACAACAGTTTTTCTACCTCTTCAATTGCCTGTGATCATTGTTTTTTTATACCCTTAGCAATATTATCACCAGATGGCCTCTTTATGTTTTAAAAATGCATTAATCATTGATGTCCCCAGCAATAAAAGCATCCTCCCCTTTGTGCCCTGAGAGACACTTTTTGTCAAGCTGAGGTATCAGTATGAAAGGGTTGTCAGTTCAAAACCAAAGTTTGGTTCCACAACTGAGACATTTTTTCTGTGAACAACTTAGTTGAGAACTGAGTTGTTCGAGATGGGAGACGTTTGAGAAACGAGGTTTGACTGTACATAGGAATAAATTTAACAAAAAAGGGTAGGACTTATCGACTGAAAATATGTTCCCCCCAGCAAGGGAAACAAAAGCAAAAATAAAATGGGACTTCATCAAACTAAAAAGCTTTTGCACAACAATGGAAACCA